GGACGAGTGCGGGGCCGGAGCGTTTGTCCGGGAGCAGCCATGGCCCCTGGGCGGCCCGAGGCGTCGGCGAGAGCAGAGGAGGCCCCTCAAGGGCTGTCCTGGGGACTTGCCGTTGTTTGTTTCTTTGCTTACAGTTCCCGCCCAGCACACATTGGGGTGAGCGGGGGCTGTGGTACGGGAGGGCGGAGGAATCCTGTTGACAGGGGGCTCCGCACCGGTACCTTGGGGTGTTTGTGTGAGGAGCCTCCTTTTGAGCCGTTCACAGCCGGTTTATGGTACTTAAATCGCTTTGGCTGTCTTCTTTCCCGTAGAACTGATTATAGAAGAGTACTTTGTTAGCATTACTTCGACAGTAGGTAGCTTGAGGCTACAAACAGCCGCTTCGATCTTTTACGTGAAAAGCATATTTCTGGCAAAATTTGCATACCTCTCTCAGTGTGTTTTCGGTGCGTTGTATTGCAGTAATAATCTGGATCAAATTTAGTTCTGCGAGCTTTTTTTGGATCTACTAGCTTTGCAGCTCAGATTGCACAGTGATTGCCGTTATGATCTCAATCTCAGTATTGTAAATTTCTGTGTATGTGATTTTAATTTTGACATTTCTGAGCACTTCCTTATTTCTTTTATCTCTTGTCTTTCAACATTTCTTTAGCATGTAAGTTTGTACGTGGCCTTTTATGTCACTGTTGCTTCCAATTTCTTGCCAATGTGTTTTCTCTGAGATGTGGTGAAGGAAGCCTTGAGAAACGATTCGGAGAGAGTTGTATGCAACTCGCTTGGATGCTGCTTTTTTTTTTTTTTTTTTAACTAAGCAGGACCCGTGTTAGTTTCTGCCCTTTCTTTGACATTGGCACAGATTTTACTCCCAAGTGACCTAGTTCAGGGACCTAACCCTGGCAGGTCTTTAGTTGTGTATTCTGAAGTGATTCCTTGTGGGATTCAGGTAAGTGAAAGGATGAGTGAAGAGGACAGGTAGGGTGGGAGAAGGGACTGGACAGCTGTAACTTCGATTGATTTTAAGCTGGAATGAAACTGGTGCTTTTGGCAAAAAGTTGTGGCTAAATGGAATAGTAATTAGGCAGCTTAAAGAAAGCTAGTCATAATGCAAACAAGATAATACTGTGGGCAGACCAGAAAGTTGTAAAAGACAATTAGGAAGAGGTGAATATAAATGGGATGTGCATAGTTCTGAAGTTTCACATGTGAAAGAAAAAGAACTAAATCTTTAGAGGTTATAAATGAGAAGTAGTCAACCAACCAAAAAAAAAGCATGAGTTTATGAGCAGTAGAGGGAAGCTTTGTTCAGAGATGGGTAACCCCAGGCCCAGAAGGGATACTTATGACCCCCTATGACCTCAGTGTTGACCATGCCAGTTTACTTCAACCTGTTTTCTTTATGTGGAAGATAAAATTTCAGGTAATGTAGTAAAAGAGTTGTAGAGAGCATTGGGCGGGGGGGCATGCGGTTTGTCTTGTGATGGGTGCGAGTGAGTTTGCAGGAATGTTAGAGAAACATGTAAAGAAGCTGTGTGCTTTTTCCACACTGCCCACCTGACTTAGGCTACTTGCTAAACTACAGAATAGGAGGCTTATTGCACAGGGTACAGGGAATTATAAAGGAGATGTAGGCAGCACACAACGTGTAGAATAGCTTTGTAAGTGTGTTTTCAGCAAGAGGATGTCCTCACTCTGTGAAGTATAGGGCAGTTTACGTTTTGCTTCCACGGAGTAAGACAGTGTCCTGGGCACAGGCAGTGAGACAACGTAGCTGTACAAGTAGTTTCTAACCTGGAGACCTTTTTTTTTTTATGCCCTCGTCTTTGCTGCTGCTTTTTCTTACTGTTAATCTTATTGTCAGTTCTTGGCCTGGATTGGAGTTAGAACTATAAGAATTGAGTCAGTTGCTTAGAGGGAAGAGAAGGCATTATGTGTAGGAAGATTAGGTGTTGCAACTTTGAGTTCAAGTTAATGTCAGTAGTAATTACAGGCCAAAATGAGCTACTCTATTTTGAATATAGTGGGAGTTTTAGTCAAAACAAAACAGTTCATGTTTTGCTGCTCCCTAGTGTCTCATACCTGCGTAGGGTTCTTTTGTTTGTTGATGTTATACTTTGATTTGTAAACACTGATACCATAAATGTATGGCATAAGGTCACTTACTGAGGAACAAAAAGATTTGGGGACAGAGTATAACAGGGAAGTACCATTATGTTTATAGTCTTCCCTGGGCAATTGCAGCTGTAGAGAGAGAATAGTTACTGGGCTTAACAAACCTTCTTGCATCGGTTTCATTTTTCTGTTGATTGGTTTGCTTTGCCACACAAACTGTTAATCTGACTTACATTTACTTACTTTTTCTTTCTGAATCTTTTGTAGCTAGTGCCTTCTGGGGAACTTTTTTACCTCATCCTCCATTGCTTTACACTCCACCTTGATGCCCACTGTAAAGTTCAGTTTGTCTACTGCTTTCATGCTAATTTTTTCCCCTCTCAGCCCTCTCGGTAGAATCTGTTTCCTACTGATGTCTGCTGAGTCATGGCTTGTAATGCCTCATTAAGGCACAAGGACTGATGAAATTTTAGGTGGGCAGATAAGGTATGTTTATTGGAGCATTGTGGCTGTGTAGGTGTAGTCTTTGTTCAACCCCACCCTGTCCTTTCTCTGTTGCTGTTGTCACTTCTTGTTATGTTTCAGGATAGGTAAGTCAATTCATCTGCTTCTTGCAATTTTGCTTATTTTGTGAAGTGCCTGTTGGAATTATTATTTACTAAAATTTGCTTATACTTTTATGAGACAACCTTTTAGCAGTAGCAGCTACTTTGATTTGACTTGCTTTTCAGCACTGAGTTTTTAAAAAAAAAAATATTGCTTCAAAATTACTTTATTTGTGATGATGATCAGCTGTCCTGTGGCCAAAGTGCTGAAGAACTTGTTCATCTCTTGTTGCAGGAAGAGCCGTCAGTTGGAACCAGTAACATTGTATGGTCTGGCAAAAACGTGCTCAAATGCATCTGCCTTAATTTGGGATTGTCACAGGAACTGATGCTCCTCTTACACTTGTCAGCTGCAGGGATTATGCGGATAGATTATTTTTAATGTGCTCAATTTACTAATTTATTTGTTTTACAAAGCCAGAGCTAACAGGAAAGTATGCTTTTTGAACTTCAAACTATAATGTATAAACAACAAAATAATTTTCAGTTATAAACTAGTAGACTATTTTTTCAAATGGCTGTAGGCAAGCCATGATATTAAAGGTAGGATTAGGGATTTTGTTATAAATACACTACAAAATATTTTCAGTTGTGTGAAAGTTCTTCATTTTCTGAATTTTAATGCAAAAGGTACTAAAACGTACCTTCTGTCTGTAATAAATTCATTACTTCAGGATTTTTCTGTTCACAGAAGGGAATTTATTGAGTTTGCTTGAAAAGGAAAACTCAGTGAACTCTGAGTTTCACTGTGGCATTACTACTGGTGGGCAGCATGCCAAACAACAGTTCATGTAGGCAGAAGAAGCCATATCGGTTACTTGTACTAAATGACCATGAACCTGTCTGGATTGCTGCCATTAGAAATTGAACCTTGGACCTTTGCACCTGAAACTCGGAGATTCTTGTGTGTGTCTGAAAGACTCCGATTTGCTGATTCTGGTTTTACAAACTCACGTGCCGGTGTGTGGACCTAGGAGGCAAAGAGCCGTATAATGTAGGAGTTGCACGCTGTCTTCCTGCCTAGGAAACAACTTTTAAAACTACCCAAGCTTGCTACGGCATAAATCTTGTGTTCTGGCCACCTGTTGCAGTATAACTTGTCTACTTCAAACAAGTCACCTTGGATTACGTTTTCATTCTTGTTTTCTTGTGCTTTGGTTGATGAAGAATTCACTTTGGTTAGAGGCATATTGAAAAATGTTCAATTCTGATAATCTCAGGTTTGGCTTGCAGTTGCTTTATTATTGGGGCATCTCTTGACTTTTCTGTGCATGGAGACTGGCACTTGAAGGCATTAATTACAAACACTGGAGAATTATATGATTTAAGTGCCTACGCACTGTTTCCCAAGGAAATTTTCAGTACTGCGTAACTGTTGTTCAATAGATGTTTTGCCAGGTTAACATGCTTTAACAATTTTCTTAACTGAACATGAATTTCTACAAACAGAGTAACAGTGTTGATTTCTGTAACGGAAGTTCTTCCTCAGCAAGGCTCTTCAAAAGCAGTATTTATTACCTTCTGGGAAACAAAATGAATGCCCTTTTTATGGTTGCTGTGAGTTTGGGATTTTTGTGTTTGGTTCTTACTTTGGTGGGGTTTTTGGTTTGTTTTTTTGTTTGTTTGTTTATTAGCTGTTTAAATCTGTTTTTATTTGGGGAGGAGGTTGCTTGTTATTTTTCTGTTTGGTTTTTTTTGTTGTTGTTGAATTGGGGGGGGGTGTTTGTTTTTAAACAATGAGAATTTTAGACCTTGGGAGTATTTCTCCTTATTTGTTGAGGTGTGATAAATGCTTGACCCTTCTTGTCTTTTGGGCAGCAACAGAGCAACTTTGATGAAACAGCTTGATCATGTTGTTAACTTCCAGCAGCTGAATCCACAATTCAAGTGTGATTTAAGCAGAACTACCTGCCATATATATTATGTCTAGCATCGAAATTATTGCTAGAGAATAAAGGCAACAATACCAAATATTTAAATGATAGAAAACAGCAAATGTTGCTGCTTTTCTGAACAAGAAGCTTTTTTCTCTTTTAGTGTTGTTAGTGTCTAGGAGATGTTGGGAAGGTTATTAATTTGTCTTTTCTTTTTTTAAATCAATCTTTAATGTAAGACTGTAAAAATAGGTGCATATGACCAATTCATAGAATCATAGAATGCTTTGAGTTGGAAGGGACCTATAAAGGTCATCTGGTCCAAGCCCCCTGCCATGGGCAGGGACACCTTCCACCAGACCAGGTTGCTCAAAGCCCCATCCAGCCTGGCCTTGAACACTCCCAGGGATGGGGCAGCCACAACTTCTCTGGGCAACCTGTGCCACTGCCTCACCACTCTCATGGTGAATAATTTCTTCCTCATATCTCATCGAAATCTTCCCTCTTCCAGTTTAAAGCCACTGCCCCATGTCCTATCACTACATGCCTTGGTAAAACATCCCTCTCCAGCTCGTTTTCATTTAATATGAGGAGGCTTTATATTTACGCTTGTAAACTCTTCGTAGCTAGTCAACTCTCTTTCTCTTCACCCTGGTAAAAATACTCCCTGTACGGTATTAGGTGTATATAGCCATAGCTGCTAACACTTCAAATTGATTAAAACTTGAAGCCAAATCCTTGAAGCAGGGAAAATAAGATGATGGTAACTTGTGTTCCTTTTAGGTTTCAGCTCAGTTAAGAGGCTGAAGCTTGTGAGTGCACGTATTTCGGCACCTTTCATTGTGTTAGAGTTGTGCACTCAGTACTATAAAATTTGGCCAGAATGGTGGATGGAAGCAATGAAGAAAATTATTAGAATTTGCAAATTTACACTTGGTTTTAAATTGAGGCTACTGTGCTTTATTGATACAATGTTTTTTACTTGTTTCTCTTTTAAATCCTTTTTAGAAATGAGTTAATGAATTTGTATAAACCAGAAAGATGGACACATTGCTCTTAGTTCATTGAAAATTTGACTGATTTTGAGTTGGTTTTATGTCCTTCAGTTGAAGGTTGGGTGCTTAAAAAGTTGATATTTTCATTGACAAAAGAAAAAAAAAAAATCCTGGTTTGTATGCTAGATGTTAATCAACTACATTTTCAATTTTTTCTGTGCTCATGTTTTCAGGTTACGACTGATGGGAAACCCAAGATAGTTGATATAATTGATACAACAGGCAGTGGTGATGTAACTACATGTACCATTGTAGAACCTAAAGATGGGGAAATTACCGGTCTTTCTGGAAGAACTTTAAAGGTGAGTATTTGGTGGTACAGAGACACCACTGAGCATCATTCTTTCTTGTTTAACAACAAATTTAGCACCTATTTTGGTTTCTGCAGAACTTACTTCCTTTTAGCCAGATCTTACTCAAAACTAATAATGCCTTTGCTCATCTTCATACATATTGCTTAACATTTCTTTTACTTTCCATATGTCTTTATATTGAATATTCTCTACAGCTGAATGATGGCTTGTACAGAGTTTTGTTGGGGGCTTGGTAATCATTTAATTAGTCTATGTTCAAATCAATATCTAATACAGTTTTGGAAGTTGGCTGAAGAAAACATGCTAACATGCTTTAAAAATATCAGACACTGTTCTGTCTTTAAAAGTGCTGCTGTTTTCCACGTTTGTATAAACGACAAGAAGAATCGTGTCAAGCTCATGGTAAATAGTTCTAGAGACTGAAAAATCTGTGAAGATGTTGTTGTAGGCTCACGTCATTCGCTACTATGAATAGAACAGAAGTGGTGTAGGGTTTTCAGAAAGGATAGGATGAGATCTAGTAGAGGTCTCCGCTACGTAGAACTGCTGATGTTTCCAACATGTTCTTAATTATCTGGTTAGATTGATGAGGTGACATGGGAGCATCAAATCTTTGGATCTCTCCATGCTATCAACTTTCTTCTGAATTTTGCACAGGATATGATTCTAAGGGTGAATCTGTTGCTCTCTTTTGCTACTGTTCCTAGGAATAGTGGATCCAATATACTGAGAGTCTAAACTGCAGCAAGATAGTTTGTCACAACCTTTAACCATAGTAGCCCTCCATGCTAGCTCCATGCTAGGGTGCTTCTTTTCACTTATAATGCTGGTATTTCCCCAGACTCCACCCAATAAAGTCGGTGCTGGGGCTGCATGTTTTAAAAGTGGAGTATCAGGGCAACTGATACTTAAAGATGTTCAGTGGTAGTGTCACAGGAATTGATACTGATTCCTTTGGAATTGGGTTGAAATTGCCATGTCACGTTGTTGAAACTCAGTGCACTAGTTGCTGTCATGGAGACAGGGAATTAACATTGGCGATGTTTGCAAGTCTGTTCTGCTAAGCTCTCTTACACAGTGTTGTTTTTTAGGCTTTGGGTTTTTTTTTGTTTTGAGGTTTTTTTGGTTTTTTTTTTTTTTTGGACACCATTAGTTAACCTATTTATGAATATACTTTTCTGTAGATTCCAGCGAACTGGGTAAATCCTTCAGGCAAATATCACATTGGCATAAAAAATGGCTATGATATCTATCCTAAAGCTCTTAAGGAGAGGATTCAGGTAAGGAATTACATTTTGCTTCTGGTGTGTAGTCATATTTCACTGTTCTGATTCTGAAGTTTTTCTAGGAAACTACAGAGTGTGATTTGCTAACACACGTAGGCTACTAGCCAGTGCTTGAGGACCATTCTCTCCCTGATTTTTATTTAGTTTTGACATGGTCCATTTTTTCTGTGATTTTTCAGAACAACAGGAGGTGGCTCAGTGGTCCTCCTCACAGTGGTCCATTGAGGCAAAACAGCTAGAAACTACTGATACCTGTTTCTTTTTTTCTGTGTAGCAATTGATGTTTATTTATAGTACTGTACTGAACTTCTTTAGCCATCATGTCTCAAATCAGAATTTTCAAATTATTTTTGTAGTCTTCATAGTTTAATGTACGTATTTGTCAATATACCGATGAACCTGGTTTTCTTTTACAGAAAGAACGCAAGGAAAAGCTCTGGGATCCTGTTCACAGACTGGCTCTAGCAGAGGCCTGTAGGAAACAAGAAGAATTTGATGCTGCTCATAGCTCTCCCTCCCAAGTTTGTATAAGTCTAAATGCCTTTGTAAACTTGTTATTTGCAACAATTTGTTACTGGTTGAGAGGATTAAAATATTTTATTAGATGAGTGAAGGGAAGATACTTGTGATTATTTTGGCAGATACCTTGCCAGTGTATCTTCTGAGTAGTTTAGAAAGTCTGTATATGGATAGTTGTTTGATTTGCTTAGTGTTGTTAACTTTCTAAACTTGTTATCAAATAACTTGGAGTCTTCTAAGCATACCCTTTCTTTTGTAAACTAGGTACTATTTCAGTGAAGTACCAGAAATGCCTCAGATAACTTCTGTGTCATTTAACAATCTGTAAAAAAAAAAAGGGGCTTTAAATGTTACTATTACAGAAATTAGAAGTAGTTCTACATAATAGGCAAAAAATAAATAGTGCACTGTTGAAGGCCGTTGAACTTGTAGATGTTTGTGACTCCTAGCATAGTCTTAAATTTTTGATGAAATAATGGAACAAATGTACAGCATCAGAAAGGAAAATAGGATTACCTATCTTGTAATAATTTTAGAAATACTCTTAACCGTATTTTTGTTGCCTTATTAGGTGAATAAGCTGATAAAGGAAGAACTTCAAAATCAAGTGGAACTGTTGAATTCTTTTGAGAAAAAATATAGTGATCCTGGCCCAGTATATGATTGTCTAGTATGGAACGACGGTGAGACCTGGAGGTAAATGCCTAAACTTGTCTAAGATGTCTTGTTCTACACATAAAACAACAGCTTGCATTGAAGACTGTGTTAACTTTTGAATCTACCCTCTTTACAGAGGTCTTAAATATTACTTGCTTTAAAACAATCCTACTGTATCATTGGAATTTCATGCCAAAGTTTCAGTCCCAAATGAAGATGGGGTAGAATGAAGTTTTACTAAAGACAGCATGATATAAAGTGTAAACTTGTAGGATTTTCCTCTGAGGCAGAGTAAAAATGCTTTGAGTATTCATTGGTGATGGGGTGGGGGGGGAACCAACACAACAACAAGAACAAAAAAACCCAGAAAACCCACCAAAAAAACAGAAGTCTTTACACAAACTTCAGGATGTGATATGGCCCTTTTCTTGACTCCTAATGTGCATCGTAGAGAACAGTGGGTTAGACTTCAAATGTTTGTGTACCAGCACTGAACAGCTAGCTTTAGTAAAACTTCTTCCTTGAAGAAATTGCCTGAATTTCTATATGTTTGCTTTTCAGAGAGAGATTTATTTGAATTTGGTAGCATTTGACAATCAGTTTATTTGGAGATCTTTGTAGTTTCTGAATCTAAGTGTAAACAACCAGGTTTAAAAGTATTGACTTAAAGAAGGAAGATACTGTAAACACAGAACCAGAAGTCTTTGTGGTACTCTTTGCTGGGGGCAGGAGGGAGATAACCGAAAGTTTACAGCAGCTTCAAAATTGCCTTTTTTTGGTGTTGTGTTTTTTTTTTTGTTGACAGAGCCTGCATAGATACAAGTGAGAGTGGTGACTTAACTAGCTGTACAGTGCTGAGAACCTACAAAGAGGCTCAGGAATATGGATCTTTTGGAACATCTGAGATGTTGAATTATTCTGTGAACATATATGATGATGGAAACCTTCTTTCCATTGTGACAAGTGGAGGTAAATGAAAGTAATCTTAAGAAAATTTTGCTACTGGGTAGGTATTGTGAGAAGCAGCAATTTGTATTGGATCCTGATTCAGATACTTGGGATGGCTCAAGGCAGCTGTCTTAATACAGCATTCATTACTACGGCAATTAAGATCAGTATTCAGATTTCCTGAACTAAACTTATAATGACAGCTCACTACCAAACTTGCTTGCATTTTTGCCTGAAATATTGTCAACTTTGTGTTCACATGCATATACTTAGGTACTCTTTAAGATGTTCCCTCATCTTTAAACCTAAAATAGAGAACCTTCTGTCAAAGTACCTTTTTTGTTTTGTTTCTTAAGTATAGGATGATGATTTATATTTTTTTTATTTAGTTGCTATCCTTTCTGCTTGTATAATTTAATGTGAAATAAGATATCCATGAGCAAAAGGGGTATTAATCTTTACTTTGGTTTATCCAAACTTTTTTGTGATGGCAGGTGTCACTATAGCCGTAGCTCCAACCACTCTGAATCTGTATTTGCATATTCTTTATACAGTCATGTTTTGTTTTGGAAGCATCCTGAGTGGTTAAGGTGGTATGGATATATTTGATTTGAAAAATACTCTTAATTTCTCATGAAACTATCCCATCTCAGTAGAACTACGGAAGCAGTTCTGGTTTCTGAATCAATGGTAACTTTTTTTGAGAGATTTCTTCTTATACTTCTGTGCAGTTTTATTTCCGATTATTTTTTCTTAATCACCACTATCTGACTCAGGTATAATTTTCATAACTTTGAGTAGGAAGTGTTGAGCCTTTTAAGTAACTTTTGTTAGTGGAATTAAGTTAATACTTCCTTTCTCCCTGCCTGCTGCCTCCTTTCTCACCTCAAAAAGCTGTTTTATTTTGCAGATTGCTGCTGTTTACTGGCTTTTGTTTTTTTTTTAAACTCTTATAATATGATGTTTATTAAATAAAGTGATTTGAACCCTGGGCTCATTTTATAGCATCACAGAATCATTTAGGTTGGAAAAGACCCTTAAGATCATTGAGTCCAACCATTAACCTAACACTACCCAGTCCACCACTAAACCATGTCCCTAAGCACCACATCTACATGTCTTTTAAATACCTCCAGGGATGGTGAGGCAGGCAGCCTGTTCTAATGCTTGACAACCCTTGCAGTGAAGAAATTCTTCCTGATATCCAATCTAAACCTATTCAGCCAGCTGTCAACCAGCACCCCCAGGTCCTTTTCTGCTGGGCAGCTTTCCAGCCACTCGTCCCCAAGCCTGTAGCGTTGCATGGGGTTGTTGTGACCCAAGTGCAGGACCCGGCACTGAGCCTTGTTGAACCTTATACGCTTTGCCTTGGCCCATTGATCCAGCCTGTCCAGATCCCTCTGTAGAGCCTTCCTACCCTCCAGCAGATCAACATTCCCACCTAACTTGGTGTCATCTGCAAATTGACTGAGGGTGCACTTGATCCCCTTGTCCAGATCATTGATAAAGACATTAAACAGAACTGGCCCGAGTACTGAGCTCTGGGGAACACCAACTGGATTTCTATACTTACAGCTCCATAAGTGAAAATTAATTGAACTGTAGTGAATTAAATTGGTATAAATTAAGTTCAGTAAACATATGAGTGATACCACTTTTCATTTCCTCAGGAGCACATGGAACACACGTGGCTAGTATTGCAGCTGGATACTTTCCAGAAGAACCAGAACGAAATGGTGTGGCTCCTGGAGCTCAGATTCTTGCAATCAAGATTGGCGATACGAGACTAAGTACAATGGAAACTGGCACTGGTCTAATAAGAGCTGTGGGTATTTCACTGAATAAATGATTAATCTCAGCTGTGTGACTTAATTGTAGAATATTGTGGAACACTTTCTGCTCTGCTTCCTTATAGACTGCGCATTTTTGTGCTTCTAGAATATTTCCAGTAAAAAAAATCACAACCAAACACCGCCTCCCCCCCCAAATAAAACAGTACAAACCAAACAAAAATAACGCAAAACCAATCAGAATATATTTTAAAACATATTGTAAGATGAATGTTTTAATATAAAACAAGACTTCTGTTGCATAGAGCGCTTACAGGGTTTTTCAGACTGATAGAGTTGCAGTGTGTCTGGCTAGCTTGAGACATGGGCTAAGCTACTTGTATACTTATTTAAAGTTCCTTGTTCTGTGTTGTGAGTGTATTTTTTTTTTCATGGTTACTTAGATCTAACTATAGAATCCTTAAATAAATCTGGAATAGAGGCTAGTATATACCCACGTGGCTGAATTTGTTTTAACTCTGTTTCTTAAGAGAGTGAGGAAAATTTTTTTTAATGATGAAAGGCCCCAGACTTTTTCCATATGGTGAGTTGACAAGGCAAAATTTTACACAAGAAAAGGAACTGAAAACAGAGAATTATATTTGTGACCTGTAGAATATCTTGCTGTAGCAACATGAAGACGTACAATAATGGTTTTGTGACTTTTTGGAATTTAACCAAACTGCACAGGAAAGGAGAATTTTACGTTAGACATTTGAGACAATACTAATGATGTCTGCAGCTTTCTCTTAGGGTAATGTTTTAATTTGTAGCTTGGAACATAGCAAGAATAAGACTGTTCAGGGAGTCGGGGTTTTTATTCTGTTTGTTCACTGGGAAAATACCACTTAAATAACTGATTGAAGTAAATTAAATTATTTTCTTTTGTAGAGTCAGAAGAAGTTTATCCCTTTTTCTTATACCTGTGGCAGATCAGTTTAAGCAGATGTTTTTTGCCATTCCTTAAGTGACTTGTTCTATGACTAGTATGTATTTTAGCTTTTATTTTCACTTTGTCAGATGATAGAAGCAATAAAATACAAATGTGATCTTGTCAACTATAGCTATGGAGAGGCAACACACTGGCCAAATTCTGGGTGAGTACTACTGTGGTTAATATAAAGTATTTTAATATCACAGAAGTGGAATTACATTTGTTGAACTTTGTGTAAATGAACTGTCAGTAAGAGTGACTTCTGCAGACTCAAATGATTCATATACATTAAACTGCAGTTTACATTTTTAACTGTCTTCAGAAGTTAAGTAAACCTATCGAAAGTGCTATTGATTTGTAATACAAAGAATATTTTAGAATAATAAAGAATGCTTGTAGTTGGAAAGCCACATAATCTGTGAGGTTTTTTTTTGAAGACCTAATATTGCTACATAACTGTTACTCCTTTTTAAAACCAGAAGGTATTATTTGTGGTCAGCTTCTGAGCTGGAACTGCCTCTGCTAGGTGTGAGAAGGCGGCTGCATAATATTCCTTGTTCTCTGACCGGTCACAGAGATTCTACTAGGAATGGGAGTTTTCCCCTGTCGGAAAAAAGCAATATTGTTGATTAAATGACTTTTTTTCTCTTACATCAGGAGGATTTGTGAAGTAATTAATGAAGCAGTGTGGAAACACAATGTGATCTATGTTTCAAGTGCAGGAAATAATGGCCCTTGCCTTTCTACAGTAGGATGTCCTGGTGGAACTACATCTAGTGTAATAGGTAAATAATTTGTTTTCGAAAAAAATTTTGACAGTATTCAGCTTCTATCTTTTCCAGCTTTATACTTGTCTTACATGTTTGAGATCACTGGTTGATTGCTGAACTAAATCTAAAAAAAAAAAAAAATCAAAGACTGCTGGGCTACAAGATTTAGTCTGAGGAAGGCACTTGCTTGTGCTTAGATATAAAAGTTCAGATTGTTATCTTCTTAGAATTCAAGACCTTACTTATTTAGAAAACAGAAGTAGGAGGCGGATGGTCTTGATTTGATGTGGCTTTGTATAAAATTAAAATAAATCTTTGTGGTCTGCCCTATTTGAAGGTTCCAAGATAATTTGGTTTTTTTACTGTAACTGTCTGAACACACCACTTCACTCAGACTGTTAGCTGCTGGTAAATGCAACTTGTAGAAAATATGAGCAAGTTGGATTCTAATTAATCTTCTGGAAAGTCTTGTAATGCATTCTGAATTGTCAGAACCACAGTTTTAGATCATCTGTCTTCATCAGATACTCTAATTTCTATTTCTAGTGAAACAAAGCTTTTTAATTTGGCTCGAATGTAATCCCATGACGTGACCTAGACAAGTCCTTCTAGGGGAAGAGCTCTTTCAGCTGCAGTGCCACTTCTGTGCAAGTCTATTACTGGCATAAGAATTGTTTTTTCTGGTGGGCTAGTGCATGTTTTTGATATTTCAGTGAAAGATTGAGGTATAAGCCTAAGCAAAATGTCTAGCATGTGGGGGTAGCTTCCCTCATCTTAATTTTTACATAAATCCTCTGATGCTGCTTTACAGCATTATACAAGGTGCTTATTAAATCTCAATTCTCATGCAAGGAGGCTAGCATGTAGACTTCAAAGTTGGAGAGGCGCTATTTCAGGATGGCTAGTAGAATTAACACTCTGTTACTTTCCAAAAGTTGATCTGCAATTATTCCACTACTGCGACTGGGGGTTGGAACTGGAACTATCAAGCTCTTTTCAGGTCTGCGATTGCTTTGCTCTTGCAGTGCATCTGCTCTGTCAATTCAGCTTACTTGGTGTATCGCTCTAGAGACTCAGTGATCATTCGTTCTGCAGGCAAAGTAGCTTGCTCCTTGTCCTCCACCTGGAGTGAACCAGATAGGGTGGGTTTTTTGAGGATAAGGCAAAATACAGTTGACAGGTTAGCTTAGTTCACACAGTCAGTATGGACATGGACCTTGCCAAATTTTTTTGTCACCTTGGTATGGTAGTTTTCTGCCATCCTGATAGTGCCTGTGCCACAGAGAAAACGGAATGTGCACTTTAGAACAGGTACACGTCATGGATGCAGTGCGCATCCTTGACATCATGTTGTAAAAATACAACTTTAGCGGGCTTTGTCATAGTCATTGATGTGCTCTGGGCACTTTGAACTGGTACACAGGAAAGTAACGACTGTCTCATCGCTGTCTTTGAGCTGTGTGGATGTAGCCATCTGCTCCAGGTGGTGTAGCTGTGAGCTGTGTAAACATGAACCGATTCACACAGATTGCTTCGAGGTATGGTTGGTGTAGTTTGTAACAGTATAAACACAGCCAGAGGGGTGTGGGAGAGAGTGGAGACATGTAAAAGTGATCCGTTGTAAAAGAAATGTAGAAGGTGAGTACATTCTATTCCAGTTGAATAAAAATGAAACTTTGAAGTTTACATGGTATTTTGCTATTCTACAGTATGACCATCAGCATTGTTACTGCGTAGCATGCTGCTTTGAACTTACTTTGTAAAAATATCTAGATTTAATCAGGTGGAAAACGTGTCTTTCCGTTCTTAAATGTCAAGCAAAAATTCTTCTCATAATGAATTTAAAACACAGTAATATTTTATTTTTGCTTTTAATAAAATTTTGTACATCTGAAGTGCTTGAATATTTTTTTTTTTACAGGTGTTGGCGCCTATGTATCACCTGACATGATGGTCGCTGAATACTCTTTAAGAGAAAAACTGCCAGCAAATCAATATACTTGGTCATCCAGAGGGCCTAGGTAGGTTATACTGAAAGAACTAATTCATTACTTTGGGGTTCAGATTATGTAATTCTGTCACCGTTTAAGGCTGGGCCG